AGCCCTGCGGGCGAGACAGCGGCACGTTGGAGAGCCGGCGGGAGGGCTGAAGGACTGCGGCTCGGGAGTGAACGCAGGGCCGGAGACTGGTGATCTGGCGCCGCGCGCCCCCTCCCGGGGCCGCAGGGAACCGAAGTTACCTGGGGAGCGGGTCTTTGTCGGCCACACTGGCTCTCCGCGGTCCCAGAACGAATTAAACGCCCCTTTTGGCTGAGGAAAGCCTCGCGCTCGCCGGGGGTGGGGCGTGTGGGGGCGGCATGTGGGCACCGGAATAATCAGTCCCATTCTTGCGCATCTACAAAACCCGCGGCGCAAAGAGAAGTGAACAGCGGCCTCCTGAATGGCGGTTTCAAAAGGCGACACCTGCAAGCGCGGCCGGTTGTGAATTGAATAGAGTCAAACGCTGCGCCCGCTCATACCTGAGCCCCGAGCTATTAGTGTCAGGCGCGCCCGGTCGCCTGGGAGGGGAAGCGCGCGGCCAGGCCGCCCCAGTTGAATGCGACAAGCTGCGGCGCGGCTGCTCCATGGGAATGTCGCCACTTGTGCTACTCGCGGTCGGGAGGGGGTGCGCTGCCCTTTCAGAGACAGACACAATTAGGCAAAATGCTCAATGAACATTATAAATGATGTGCGATCGCTCTGCAGATTGCCTGGCAAATCAAATTATATGGTCGCTCGCGGGCGTTTCCATGTGCTTTTAAAACTTAAACAGGTATTCGCCGATTTAAAAAGGGAGGGAGGAGGCGCGACTCAGGGATTCCGGAAAATAAAACTGAAAGACTCGGTGTTGAATATTCACACGTCCCCTTTGTTAGAAATTGACTTCACAATGCGCTTGGGGAGGGAGTGCGTTTGGACGCGAGACACATTTTTTACTGTCTTACATACTGCAGTGGAAGGCACCAGAAGTTTGCATTTATTACAACTCACAATTACAGTGGGACCCTGTTTTTCTTTTAAGCCTAAAATTCTTCTCATAATGAATGACTTGAGAGCTACTGTCATTCTAATCAGGTGGAAGAAACATTCTAATCAGATGGAAGCTGGCCGGGGTGAGCTTGGGGAGGGGTTGAGGAGAGACCCGCGCTTCTCCCTGGCACTGATGCTTACCCCGGAGGAAACTGGCTGGGGAAGCCATTGCTCCGCACAATCCAGGCTCCGCCCGGCGGCTCCCCCGCCGCTCTTCAACCGCCCGCCGCCCTCTGCGCTCCAGGAAGAGCGGCGCTTGGGCTGAGCAAGAGGAAGCGGCGCCCGGAGCAGTGCGCCTAGGGCGGCACGGACAGCAGCATCCACAGGGGTATCCCTCGCTCCGCCCCAGTTTGGCTCTGCAGTCTGAGGCTGGCGACTCTAGGAAGAGAAGGGGCAGCTGGAGACGCCCAGATTGCGCGGAACCCTGAGGATGCCAGGAGCCGTGCCGCAGGCTAGGGGTTGTCGCCCAGGAATAGCAGAGTCAATTTTAGCTTCTAAAAAAAGGAAGCAAGGAAGCGGCAGCAAATGCGCTGCTTCACGTCCCAGCCGACCTTCATCTCATTTTCGATTTTCTTTTGGTTTTCAGATAATTGGACTAGAGGGAGTGGTACAGAATTGTGGATACTGGAGACAGTTGGCAAATATGGGCACTGCATCTTGCTGAGGGAAGATCAGCAGAAAGGAAGAATGGAAATCCGCATTTGTCACTGACTCAATGTTTTATCTTAGACAGGTAGCTTAACCTCTCAGGTTCAGTTTCCTCATCCATGAAATGAAAATATTATACACAATATTAGAAGGACAAATGCTAGAAAATCAGAGTCTTGAGCTTTGAGCACCTCTACCGTCTCCCTTTCCCGTGGGTGCACAGGAGTCTCTCCTTGTTGGGACAGGAGGCAAGGAATGCTCTTGCTAACAGCTTCCTCAGGCAAAGAGGTGCTGGGAATGACAAAAGCAGAACTCAACCAACTAATAGCACATCTGGCTGTGTGTGTGTGTGTGTGTGTGTGTGTGTGTGTGCCTGTGGCCGGTATTCATAAGGGAGCAGGTCTCCAATAAATTGACGATTTTCATTTCTCATTGTCAAGAAATTTTTCTACTGGCACCAGAGACCACGCCATGAAGAGCAATTTATAAAATGCCTTTTAAGAATCAGAATGATGCGTTTCATTGACAAAGAATATTTCTTTATTGCTGTTATAGGCGTGAAAGTATCTGAAGGAGTAAGGTTCCAAGACCCTAGACAAGCCAGGTGCGCTGACCTTGGTGCTGAAGGCAAAGGCCAAGGCTCTGGAGGCTACCTCCCTCAAATCAATGACCATTGTGAGGGGCTGCTAAAAGAAATGGGATCGCATCCTCTTAATACCTCCCACCCAGAGTGTGTGTTTATTTCGTGTGTGTGAGTGTGTGTGTGTGTGTGTGTGTGTGTGTAAAATGTGAATAACATGTGAAAGCCACTAACACAGTGCCTGAAACATACAGCAACTCAATAAATTTTAGTTAATTGAATGGATATTTGAGTACCTGTGCCTCAGTCTCCTCCATAACCTACTTATTAAATTCAGGGTGGGCAAATATTACTAAATAATAGTTTTATAATGCCTTAAAGGTACCCAACTTTTTTTTCTAGCTTTCTTTCCGCCATTTGACTTAAACATTACTTTGGGAAAGTTTGGACAGAGAAAGATTTATCACAGCCAAGAGCCATTCACCCAAAACTCTGCTCCCTGGGGGTATTTAGCTTCGGTACTGGCTGTGTATCACCAGAATATGGTGATTCTATCTTAGGAAAAGAGATGAGGACTAGGACATAGTGGTCTTGAAAAGATAATCTGCTTTTAATTAATGATTCTATTCTGAGGTCTCTGAGAAAATTTATTGTTACTGGGTTAAACAAGTGATCAGGCTTCATGCATGTCATTTGTGAGGAATATTTCCCTTGGGCTAAAACTCTGTCAAAAGATCAAGGACCATTATTTCTGTTCACTTTTCTGTCATTAACAATGAAAAATCCAGTTCCACGACCTACTCATTCAAAACAGGTATTAAGTAGCATATGCAAATATGTACACTTAATAAGTAAGAAAATAAGTAAATTAGAATATTTGGTTTAAACATAAAAAAATAAGAGGTAACTAGTATTAAGTTCTGCATACTTGCTACAGATGGTCTAAAGCTTTGGCTCCAAACTTCCCATCAGCCAACGCAATGGGGAAACACAATAAATGTCATGCTTTAGAGTGTGAGATACATGTAAACTGATTTCTCATAGAAAAACAATTATGTGTGGTACTGAAAGCTAAGAGAAATTTTTTCCATGTGTCCCCATAAAATGATGTCTTGAAGAGTGACCTTAATAATGTCTCCAAAGCAAATAGATTTGAGTTGTGTAGGCTGGTTCTTATTTGTGTCACTTATAGAGCTCTAAAATATCCCCAGGGTAAGAATAAAACTGCTGAGGAAGACCCTTAATGGGATGTTGGACTCTGAGTGTTGAGGGGAAACCATCCTGGGAGTCCTGATACTCCAGTTGTTGTAGTTACCAAAAGATTTGCAGAAATACTCTGGGTACTCAACTTGGTGTCTAAGGTAAGATCAGTGACAGGGCTACCCTTGGAAAAGAGGAATTACCCTGTGCTGGAATCATCAAAGCCAATTCTGGGCCAGTGCTCCAACTTTAATGTCCACAAAAATACCTAAAATATCTGTTAAAACTTTACATTCCTAGGCCCCAAAGATTCTGATCCAGTTGGTCTGGGTAGCATTGTGTGTGTGTGTGTGTGTGTGTGTGTGTATGTGTGTGTGAGTGTGTGTTGTTGTTGTTATGTCTATCATATCATATATTATACCCAGACCTACTGAATATGTATATTTACAAGTATATTATAAATATATGCACTGAAATCTGTATATTTACAAGCACCCCAGGTGAGCAATGAGATCACCAAAATTGTTTTCTTTTCCTTTTGGATAGAGCAGGTGTATGGGACTGTGTAATTGAGTCCTGACTAATAGAATGTAGGCAAAAGTGATGTACATCACTTCTAGCATTGGTCCCTAAAACCACTAGAGTCCTCTACATTGTTTTTTTCTCCTTCTGTTATCTTCCAGCTGGATGCAGAGGACCCAGTAGAGGACGCTGAGGCCCTGGATGATGGCAGATACACTAGGTGGAAAGAACCTGCGCCCCTGCATGGGAAGACCAACCTTTACAACCTGCTAATGCACAATGAACTATAAAATGAGCAACAACTCCATCTTTATGCTGGTAAGCAACTGAGGTCGGGGAACTGTCATGGCATCTAGTTTGCTTGTCCTAATATACAAGTTGATTCTAAAATGGGCTAATAAACATTTTTGGAAAAACACTACCCTAGACAAAACTATGAAGAAGCAAATGATTCAGACTCTGGTGATAATTCTTTGGCTTATAAGAATGACTCAAACAGTAAGACCCCCAGGTGTGGTGAGAGTCCAGGAGAATGCAAGGTTTGGGATAAGTAGCCCTCTAATTACAGCCTCTAAATGGTGCTGCCTCATAAAATACACTTGGAAGTTATGACTTCTACAGTCTTCTTTTGTTTCCTGAATATTTACTTCCTCTTTCTCTTTTGTTGTTGATCCTCTCACCACTAGGGAAACAATGAGTCCCAGAAGGAAAGGATGGAAGGGCGCTCGTGTCTGTAGACAGACTGTGATGTGGTAGACACTATACTTAATACTTCTTATGCATTATATCATTTATACTTGCATATTTGTTCAAAAATAGGTATTAACATTCTAATTTTCCAATGAGGACTCTAAAACTTTGCTGGAATTGCTGCACTAAGCATATAGAGAATTCTGATGAGTCTGCTCCTTTAAATAAAGAATCTGACTGAATGACCAAAGTACACCCTAGCTGTACATCTCAGTGGGAAGGTAGAGAAAGGAACATGAGCTCAACTTGAAGGTTGTCATTGGACTAGAGCAGCAGTTTGGGGAGAGCAATAGACCAACTGACCCAATTCTGGGAGGAGCTATTTTTTTCACACTTTACCATCCCTGTCAGGGCTCACAGCCCACAGGTAAGGAAGCTGGGCAATAGTTTGAGGCTGCTGTTTACTGCGACGTAAATGCACTATGAGAGGCCCACAGAGAAAGGCCCCACATAAATCCACTGTCGTGCTCTGGGAGGAGCTATTGGAAACAACTTAAGAGGAGCCAGTTCAGACTCATTAAGCTCTTTAAATTCTGACTCTGGAAAAGGGACATGTTTTGGATAAGAGCCTTAGAAAGGTACTATTTTAGACTCTAGAAACTCCATTTTCAGGGATGAATTCTAAGGAAATAATTAGAAATATGTAAAAAGCTAAACACAATATTTTGCCATAACACTATTTACAGAGAAAAAAGAGGAAATTATCTAAGTGCTTTTCAAGTTGAAATATGTTGTAATTGAAATAATCATGCAGAGTGTTTGTAATTAGTTTGAAAATGTTTATGAAATAATGTTAAGTGAAAAATATTAAAATATGGATTTGAATAAATATGGTCATCTACAATCAAAAATAAAAATATCCAAAGCTATTCATAGAGAAAAATCAAAATGTTAACAGTGTTTGTCTTTGGGAGAAAGAATTAAAGGCGATATTTTCCCCACTTTTCTGATTTTCTTCAAATGTTCTCTTAGGCTTACAAATATATGTTATAGTGGAAGAACAAAACTAAGAACAGTTCACATGTAAGGAATTTATTTTTAGGGAAGTAGTTCAGAATAAAAAAATTAAACTTTCTTTTTAAAAGAATGAACTATAGCACACAGAGAGAAAAATGAATCAAATACAATCTCAGGAATTCTCCACAAGACAAGCACCACCACTGTGAGGAAATAAAACGTGGGGAGAGCCCAGGATCCCTCTTGTGGCCCCTCCCAGCCACCTTCCTTTTCCTGGCCCCAAGGAGTAATGACTATTAAACTTCTGTGGTAACTATTTCTTTCCTTTTCTTTATAATTTTGTCTCCTAAGTCTGAATACTTAAACACTATCTCTTCATCTGCTTTTGGAATATTATGTGAATGGAATCATAGAACATTCCTTTGTGTCTGCTTTCTTTTATTCATCACTAATATATATGATACACCCATGTAGCAACATTCATGCATTACATTGTATGAACACACTGCTTTAGAAAACATTGCCCCATAGGTGTTTCCAGTTTGGACTGTTATGGATAATATCGTGATGAGCAGTCTGCACTCATCTCTCATGCACGGGTGAGGACATTGCTTAGAGTATAAACCTAGAAATGGAATTTCTGGGTCATAAAGTATGTATGTCTTTAACCTCAGTAGGTAATGCCGAACTGTTTTCCACAGTTTACACTCCTGAGAGCCAGAAGCATGTGCTTTAACTCTTTTTGGAGTGGGAGCATCTGGTCCATAAAAAGAGATTCCAGGGAATTTGTCTTCAGCACATTCCTTCCCAGGGACAGACTGGAGGACACTTCTGTATCAGATTATGAGGTCCCCAAGGCTCACAATGATGTCACCATCGCTGAACAGGTCAGAATCTAAGCTGAGCTTGAAGTGAATCTCTCAACACAATGAAAAGAGTGTGTCCCATCCACAGAGCTGAGAGGCACGTGGAGATAACACTGGGTGAAAGGAGTTAGATACTGAGGATTAAAGTTCTGGATCTGAAAGCATCACACAGATAACATATTGTTTAGTTTCTCAATCCAGGGCATTTTCCAAAGCCATAGAAGTGGTAATGGAGCTTCACCAAGTATTTTAAATATTAAAGAAGACCAACATTTACTGAGGATCAGACTGAGGGATTTCTAAAGCTTCCTGGCTTTGTTTCTGCCTGGAATTCTGTGAACTCATTATGGGAGCTCTGGCTACTTCACGCTAATCACAAGCTTTGGTTGGAAGTCATATGTATCTCTAATGAATAAAAATAAGAAAATTAGCTGAAAATACACACATACATGATCTCCTAAGCCTTGGGGCCCATGGGGTCTGTGGTGATGACGAGGTTGGGAAGAATTGAAGGGTTTGTGAGGCAGAACATGGGTGCTATGGACAACTGAACATGCCCACGACTCAGGCTCCACTAAGTCCCTGGTCATTCTGTCTTCCTAGGGCAGGCTCTCATTGAGAGTTTCATGTGTGATGACAATTTGTACCCATATTCGCAGGGCATAGGGCTTAGCCTGTTCCATCAGGATACATGAAAAGTCATGTGTGACACCTCTGTAACAAATACCTCTTGAGAGGCAGAATAATGTCATCAGATTATGAGCAGAAAGACCCTGTGTTAGTTTTCTGTGGCTGCCATAGCAAACGACCTCAGACTTGGAGCTTTAAACAGTACAAATTTATTGTCTTGCAGTCTGTAGGTTGAAAGCCTGACACAGGTCCCACTGGACTAAAATCAAGGTGTCAGCAGGGCTCCTTCCTTCCGGGAGGCTCAATGGTCAATCTATTTCTTTGCCTTTTCCAATGTCTGGAGACCGTCCACATTCCTTGCTTTACTGCCTCTTCCTCCATCTCCACAGCCGCCTGCGACACTACACCCCTGCCATTCTCCCTTAGTCCCATCTCCTTCCATGTCTCTCCTCCTGCTTCCACTTCTAAAAACCTTGTGACCTTAGGGCCCACTAGTATCATCTGGAATAATCTTTCTTAAAATCAGCAGATTAACAACCCAATTCAGTCTGTGACCTAATCCCTCTTCGCCATAGAACATAACACAGTCACATGTCCCAGGGATGGGGGGGGGGGGGGGGGGGGGCGGCATGTTCAGGGGGTCATTGTTCTGCCTCCCGAAGACCCTTTGTAACAAATGGCCGATTGTTGTGCCTGGGGCTGCACCGGGGAGGAGGCCCTGGGGGAAGTGGGAAAGGTGGGAGGCTGAGAGAGAACACAGGAAACGCCCCCTCCTGCGTCCTCATGGCGAGGTAGAGTGACAGGAGGGTCAACCAAGTGATGTGACTGCATTGCCATCTGGAAGTGACATCCTTGGGTTTATTGAAATATCTGTCAGCTTTCCAGGTGTGTTCAGGCCACCTATTGACTTGTTGTTGAGACGTTGATGTGCCAGTGGTGTGGTTGAAACTTCTTCCCTTTTATCTCAGAAGACACAGATTTGCAACATTGCCAGAAGGGTAGAGGAACTAGAAATACCAGATAAAGGGACTGAAAATAATAGAAATCAACACTGTCATAATAGTATTAATGAAATTTCTATGTGCCAGATATCAGGCATGAACACTTTATGTGCATTGTCCTAATCTTTGCGAGTAGATAGGGTTCGTATGAAATAGTTTGGAGACGGAGAAGAGACATGCAGCCCCTGGCCATCAGGACCCCACCATCACGACCAAGCAGAGAAACCCAGAAGTGCTGCCACATTTGCTTCTTTCCTCGTGAACGCCCGTCATTCTGCAGGAGGTTGCTTTCGGGTTGTGCTTTCTCAGCTTCTGCTAAGCAACACTGGCGCATATGGCCGTCTGTGCTGTCTCCCTGCCTGCCTGGCTGATGGACGTAAGACGTTTTCACATTTGCAGTTGAGCAGATTAAAAATGCCAGTTCCCAGGGGTGCATGGTAGAATTGCCCTGGGTGCCACCTGGCCCCTTGAGGCAGAGGCAGTGCCGAGAGGGGCGGGGATTGGGGCTGGCCAAGGGATTTAGGTCTCCTTTGTCCCCAAACTCTCTTGTTTGAGTGGGGTTGCATCTGTTGTGGGGGATGGCTGTCCTGTAATGAGGCCTATGACATGGCATTTCTGCTCCCTGGCCTGGTTGGCACAAGACCAGCCTTCCTGGATAGGTGTGAGCCCCCTGCCCTCTTTATGGAGGAGGCTGGTCAGAGCTCAGGAGTGGGTTTCCAGACCTTCATTCTGACCCTCTTTATTTCCCACTGTGGTGCTCCCTGATCTCTCCTTCTGGAATTCCCACACCACAAGGTACCGGCCCTGCCTGCCACCCGCCCTAGTGTCTAAGTTTCTACTGTTTCAGATTTCAAGTGATTTCCTGTGTGTACTGTTCATTCCCAGGGAAGTTTCTAGAAGACAAATGCCCTTCTCATTTTCTGGTTTCTCTTCTTTCATTCACCCCAGTGCTAACATATAAGAGGTACATAAATAATTGCTGGGATTTTGTTTGTTTGTTTTTAGTTTTTGTGGCTGAATTACAGCAGAAATTAAGCTGTTTAAACTGATTTTTGACAATGTGGAACTCTGGTGGAAATAATAAAAAGATCAGCAACCTCTGAGCAACACATAAAAATAAAATAAAATGCCTTTTCTGCTTTATTAAAAAGTTATTTTCTACTGTCTAGATTTGATCCTCGAAAACAAAGATTTATGTCAGAAAATTCTGTTGGCGGTTGTATCACTAAATCTTTTATATCTTGAAAATGTAGTTTGTTTTCTCCTTCCCAAATGTGAGAATTATTTGAGTAATTCTGTTTTCTTTGTCAGGGGACCCACATTTGAACTCCCGACCTAGCCTCCGCAGTGACAGTAGGTCCATGGCTGACCTTTCCATCTTGTCCTCAGATTATTTTTGGTGAGGGGTGGAGTGCAAATGAACAAAAGTAAAGCTGTCGTTTTAGGAAGCACAGGGAGCGAGAGACTGGCTTACTGATAAGAAAGCATAATTGGAAAGATTTTAAAAATATATTACCTACTATGATTTTGGTTTTCTTTTTTACAAACCGTTTGATTCCTGACTACCCGACTTCCTTTTTCACTGGTATCCACAGGAAGCCTGGCAGCTGGACTGCAGGGCAACCCCCAGCCAACAGCCCTGCACTGAGCCAGCTTCACTCCCGGCCCCGGGCAGCCCCCAATCAGACGCGGGCGGACCCCAATCAGACACGGGCGGCCCCCCACAGCGGGGCTATTAGCCACAACCAGGCCTGACACCAGTGGGTCTGAAGACCGGAGGCCAGAGACTCCTCTGACCCAGCAGCCTGAGCAATAACCGCCTTTCAGATTTGAGTTGATTCATGTCTGGCCCGAGTGGCTCAGTGGATTGAGTGCCGTCCCATGGACTGAGAGGTCCCGGATCCCATGGACTGAGAGGTCCCGGATCCCATGGACTGAGAGGTCCCGGATCCCATGGACTGAGAGTCCCGGATCCCTTGGACTGAGAGGTCCCGGATCCCATGGACTGAGAG